TGATATTGGAGGTGGGCAAACTAAGACATTTGCTCCAGAAGAAATTTCTGCTATGGTTCTCACTAAAATGAAAGAGACTGCTGAGGCTTATTTGGGAAAGAAGGTAAATATCTCTAGAACAAATGTTAAGTGTTTATTTTTTTAAAAGATTATTTTATTCTTGGTTGATTTGTGGATGCCTTATGGTGTTAAAACTTTGAATCTGAATGACATCCATGTTTGTCAGGTTTACTTTTTTAATGCTTGACCATAGGCCAAACAAAATGGCCAGATACTTTTCATGTGTTATCATTTCATGCATGCAATTTCTTGGATATAAAGTTGTATATAATATACTCTTCCTATCAGTAAACTGGCATATATATTAGAGTGGTAGTTTGACTAATTTAAATAAGGGTTAAACCATGTATACACTTACTTTCTTTTGATATTCTTTTAGGTTACCCATGCAGTTGTTACTGTACCAGCCTATTTTAATGATGCCCAGCGGCAAGCAACCAAAGATGCTGGAACTATTGCTGGCCTGAATGTTATGAGGATCATCAATGAGCCGTAAGTATCAAATTCAAGGATATGGCATATTTGCCAATAGGGGAAACTTGAACCTGACTAAGCATTTTTCCCCTTTTTCATTCAAACAGTACAGCAGCTGCTATTGCTTATGGCCTGGATAAGAGGGAGGGAGAGAAGAACATCCTAGTGTTTGATTTGGGTGGTGGAACCTTCGATGTGTCTCTTCTCACCATTGACAATGGTGTCTTCGAAGTCGTGGCCACTAATGGAGATACTCATCTGGGTGGAGAAGACTTTGACCAGCGTGTTATGGAACACTTCATCAAGCTGTACAAAAAGAAGACTGGCAAAGATGTTAGGAAAGACAACAGAGCTGTGCAGAAACTCCGGCGTGAAGTAGAAAAGGCCAAGCGGGCCCTGTCTTCTCAACATCAAGCAAGAATTGAAATTGAGTCCTTCTATGAAGGAGAAGACTTTTCTGAAACCCTGACTCGGGCCAAATTTGAAGAGCTAAACATGGTGTGTTCCTTGTTTTCTGCTTTGCTAATTAGATGTATTTAGCCTCTCTGAATTTAAGATAATGTGTCCAATATTTAGGTATAACAGGCATCACAATAACCATGTCTCTTATTTTAGGACCTGTTCCGGTCTACCATGAAGCCTGTTCAGAAAGTACTGGAGGATTCTGACTTGAAGAAGTCTGATATTGATGAGATTGTTCTTGTTGGTGGCTCTACTCGAATTCCAAAGATTCAGCAACTTGTTAAAGAGTTCTTCAATGGCAAGGAGCCATCCCGTGGCATAAACCCAGATGAGGCTGTTGCATATGGTGCTGCCGTCCAGGCTGGTGTACTCTCTGGTGATCAAGATACAGGTAGGTTACAAAGCTTTGGTAGTTTGACAGGAAGAATATAATTTGCAATTGCTGTATAAAAGTGTAAGCCACAAGTTTACCCAGCTAGTAAAGGTATAGTGAAGACAAGTCCTAGTACAGTCTCGAGATTCTTAGCAACAACTGTGTATTTCATTTATCCTAAATTGTTTATGCCTAGAACCTAAACAAATGACAAAACAGAAAAATAAACTTTTAAGTTTGTGGAGAGATTGCTTGTAGTGTTCTTACATCTCTTGAATTAGAACTTACCTTGATTAATTTACCTTTGCAGGTGACCTAGTACTGCTTGATGTATGTCCCCTGACACTTGGTATTGAAACTGTGGGAGGTGTCATGACCAAACTGATACCAAGGAACACTGTGGTACCCACCAAGAAGTCTCAGATCTTTTCTACAGCTTCTGATAATCAACCTACTGTTACAATCAAGGTCTATGAAGGTAATTACTTACATTTGTTACTATTGTGTTGTGCTTTAAAAGAATGTGACTCCTTGTTTAGTATACACTATAAAAATGGCTAGGTAAAGGAGAAGCTGCTGTTTTCAAGATGGGGGAGGAGGTCCTTAATTTGGTGCTGAGTGTCATATATTCAGTACTTATTTAGCACTCTTTCTCATTAGAAATAACTTCTGAGCTGGCTTCTAGAATACTCGAAAACAGGTGAAATTTAGTTAAGGGTTAGTAATAGTGTCACCCAGTTGCTGTCTTCAGTAGACCAATATTGAATCACTTTTGGTTTGAAGTGCCCTTGCCCCATTATGTGTTCTAATAGACTGAAATGTAGGGATCCAGAGTTGTCAGTTACAAGTTTTTCTGTGTGTAACTTCTAGGTGAACGACCCCTGACAAAAGACAACCACCTTCTGGGTACATTTGATCTCACTGGAATTCCTCCTGCTCCCCGTGGGGTCCCCCAGATTGAAGTCACTTTTGAGATAGATGTGAATGGTATTCTTCGGGTGACAGCTGAAGATAAGGGTACAGGGAACAAAAATAAGATCACAATTACCAATGATCAAAATCGCCTGACACCTGAAGAAATTGAAAGGATGGTAAATGATGCTGAGAAGTTTGCTGAGGAAGACAAAAGACTCAAGGAGCGCATTGATACCAGGAATGAGTTGGAAAGCTATGCCTATTCTCTAAAGAATCAGATTGGAGATAAAGAAAAGTTGGGAGGCAAACTTTCCTCTGAAGATAAGGAGACCATGGAAAAAGCTGTAGAGGAAAAAATTGAATGGCTGGAAAGCCACCAAGATGCTGACATTGAAGACTTCAAAGCTAAAAAGAAGGAACTAGAAGAAATTGTTCAGCCAATTATCAGCAAACTCTATGGAAGTGCAGGCCCTCCCCCAACTGGTGAAGAGGATACATCAGAAAGAGACGAGTTGTAGACACTGATCTGCTAGTGCTGTAATATTGTAAATACTGGACTCAGGAACTTTCGTTAGGAGAAAATTGAGAGAACTTAAGTCTCGAATGTAATTGGAATCTTCACCTCAGAGTGGAGTTGAAAATGCTATAGCCCAAGTGGCTGTTTACTGCTTTTCATTAGCAGTTGCTCACGTGTTTTGGGGTGGGGGGAGAGGAGGAATTGGCTATCTTAAAAACTGGATATAAAAACATGGGTCAGGATGTGTGTTCACCTCAGAAATGTTCTATTTAACAATTGGGTCATGCACATCTGGTGTAGGAACTTTTTTCTACCATAAGTGACACCAATAAATGTTTGTTATTTACACTGGTCTAATTTTTGTGAAAAGCTTCTAATTAGATAAAACATTCCAATTTAAGGTTCTCATTTGTGTATACTTGGTTTGAGGTTATTTGAAATGTTGAAATAAGGAAACATTTCTGTTTAAACTAGACAAATTCCCTGGAAATATTAATCTAAGAAAAGGGGAAGAGGTTCACTGTATCCTTACCTAGTCAAGGGCCATTTCAGAGGCCAAGAGTGGAGTTTTCTTGAATATAATTAAAATTTCCTACTTCCCCTTCTTAAAACTTCCTTTCTAGTGACTTACTATAAAATGATGCTTGTAGCTGCTTGGGTTATCTTTTTTTTTCTTTTTTTCATTCCTCTATAGTGAGCTATATCCCAGCCCTTTATATTTAGACAGGGTCTTCCTAAATTGCCCACCTAGTTCCAAAGTTTGCAATCTTCCTGCGTCAGCTCTAGTTGCTAGGATTACAAGGGCAGGCCACTGTGCCTGGATGGATTCTCTTCTAAGAATTGACGGAATTTTCGTTAGATTTTTCAATTTAAAAAGACTTAATTGCACACACAAAAATGGGGCTTGATCACTGATATTAACTTTTTATTCACTTAGATTTTCATTTTTTGAAATTTTGTGATACTGGGGATCAAATCCAAGGCTTTGCATTTTGCCAAGCACACACTGCCACTTAGCTGGATTCATTTTATAATTTTTTTTTTTTTTAGAGAATTTTTAAAATATTTTTTAGTTATCAGCGGACACATCTTTGTGGTGCTGAGGATCAAACCCAGGCCGCATGCATGCCAGGCGAGCGTGCTACCGCTTGAGCCACATCCCCGCCCCCATTTTATAGTTTTAAAAAGGTAAAAAAGCTGGAGCTACAGTAGAATCCTTCCTGAAATTTCTCAGTGGTAGTAGGGTGGCATCTAGATGGTGGCCTTAATAAACTATCCCACTTGTAAGACAAAGGTATTGGCTGTGACAGTAATATCTTAGGACTATTTGGATTGGCATTTTGAGCATAATATGTAGGTAGGTGACTAGTAAAACTCAATAAAGGTCTTTATTGTCTGGTGCTAACATGAAATCCTATACTGCCCAAGGATAAAGTATTTTGTGATGGGCAACCAGCTGAAAGATTAATTTGTTAAGGATGGTAGACTGGGGATCCAACACCAAATTTTTCTGAATACTAAAGCTTAGACTTCTGCACTTCCTCAGAAGCATTTGGGTAGGCCTGTAGTGTAATAAGGTCTGTAGGCCAAGCCACAGCAAACGTTAAAAGTGACTTGTTGGGCTGGGGTTGTGGCTCAGGGTTAGAGCACTCTTCTAGTACTTGCAAGAAGCCCTCAGGACCACATATAAACAAAATAAAGGTACTGTGACCACCTACAACTAAAAAAAAATATTTAAAACAAAAAATAGTGAACTGTCCCCACAGGCTATTACTACTATCAAATAGTCTGCACCTCTTTATGAGGATCAACTAATGAATATTAACAAGAACTTTCAACTGGCAAGTGTCTACTCTAATATCTATGACTTGTCTTTACTTAGGATCCTCCCCCCAGGACTGGGGATTAAACCCTGGGTGCTCTACCACTAAGCTACTACATATATCCTCAGCCCTTTATTTTGAGACAGGGTCTCACTGAGTTGCCCAGGCTGGCCTCAAACTTTTGAACCTCCTAGGAGTTCAAAATTGCAGGTATTACAGACATTTGCCACCGTGGCCCACTTTTACCTAGGTTTGGTTGCTGGTAAAACCGGTTTTATAATAGAATTTTTTGCATTGGGCTGTCAAGTCATTACCTACCAAAGATGGATATATTTTGCAGAAAAAATTTGGAAAAAAAAAATTTGGAAGAAAACAGTTAAGGTTTCTCTTAACTTTAATGAAAGTAACAATTTTTTTTTTTTTTTAGTCAATTACAGTCACAATACAATCGTTATAGATTTCCCCTTCTGTATTCATCCCACCAAACACAAAACATAGCAGTATGTCACTCTGGCTTTCCTCAGATGTGCTGCCACATGGTGCCACTCTGTCGGTGGAATCCCCTTTCTCAGTTTCACAGTTTAGGGTAACAGAATTTGAGTCTTTCTCAGAAGTAGATGTCACTGGCCATGGAATGATACACATGGAATGATCCAAACGTCCAGGGGGCAGCAAAGTATCAAATTTAAGGAGAGACCATAGCTGTTTTTCTGGCAGGGGTAAAGAACAAAGGTGCATGTTATGAAATTTCAAGAGATGTTCTGTGATTTACTGCATCAGCTGAGTGAGGGAAAACAAACCCCAAAGACAGTGTTACTGCTTTAATGATGTCATTTCCTGTAAGTTCAATTTTCATTCCTTTGGATTTAGACAAGGAAGAACCAAATTGAAAAACCAAGGCATTATGTCACTTTGCAAAACACATTTGCACCACTCACCTATGTGATACTGGTACATTGTGTCCAGTGCTCCGGTAGGAGTCATTCCTCCAAAGACATATATATGTTTTCCCAAAGTCACAGCTGAGTGGGCAGCACAGCCTGCTGGGGCGACCCCTGTGGGACTGAGCTTCTGCCACTTCATGTCACCTGCAGAGAGAAAGAGTTAGCACTGTACAGGCTAAAATGTGGTTTCAAAGTTATCTAATGCAGTTTGCAAATCAATCACTCAAGGTCATTCACTTGGAGCTCTAGAGAGGTGGCAGAGCAAGGTCTAATGTGCATAAGAATTACTTGGAGGTGGGGCTTGAATGGGTAGTCCAGGGAGGGAGGGGAAACACTCAGTGATCTATAGTTTTTACAATTAACCTAGAGGATTCTGATGGAGCACTCTGAGAAATGTGATACAGCCTTATTTAGTGATTATCACCTTTGTTCACACCATTAACTGCCCAGAAGCAGGTAAGTTGTGTGTTTTAAATACCAAGTTATTCAGAAAGCAACTTTGTAAGCACTGGCTGGCTACTTTCAATATCTGGTTCACTTAATTCTCATAAAAGCTCTGTGAATTGCTATTATTTGTGCCTACCCCTCACCTCCCTTTTTTTGTGTGTGTGGTGTTGGGGATTGAATCCAGGGCCTCTTGTACATGTGAGGCAAACATTTTACAAACTGAGCTATATCCCCACCCCAGCCTACCCCCTTCTTACAGATGAGTACAAGGGGATTATTAGAGAGGGAAAGAGGCTTGCTTGAGATCCCGCAGCTTGTAAGTGGCAGAGCTAGACTGAGGTCCTGCTCCAAAACCTGAGTTCTCTACAACTTGCTGCCTTCCTTAGCATCTACTTCCAAAACTTTTTTTTTTTGGGGGGTACTGGGGAGCCCAAGGGTGCTCTACCTCTGTGCTACATCCCCAGTCCTTTTTATTTTATTTGAGACAGGTCTCACTAAATTGCTTAGGGCCTTGCTAAATTGCTGAGGCTGGCTTTGAACTTGTGATCCTCCTGCTTCAGCCTCCCAAGCCGCTGGGATTACAGGTGTGCCCCACCTTTCCCAGCCAATTAGAATCTTTTAAACAAGAATTTAAGAAGCATTTACATGAGGCAGGATATTATTAGATTTTAGGTTTAGAGAACTATTTGGGTAGGCAGGAAAAACAGACAGGAAGTAGTCCAGTCCTTCAGCACAAGAGAAAAGGACTTCCTTTTGAAAAATAAGCATAAAAACCCCATGGGACCACCTGCAAGGAATGCTTCTTATAAAAAATGAAGATCATGTTCTGGGACTGTGGCTCAGTGGTAGAGTGCTTGCCTAGCACTCATGAGGCACTGGGTTCGATTTGATCTCCAGCACCACTAAAAAAAAATATTTTAAATAAACAAAGGTTAAAAAAAAAAAAGAATGAATATCTGTTTCCACCTGTCAGTGTGAAGGGGGCCAAGTATTTGGGGTCACAATGCTAGCCAATGTTAGAATCCCAGTCAGCATCCCCAGGCTTCAAAGAACCCAGTAAGGAAGTCTGCACAGGAGTTCCCATGCCTTTTGCCCATTGTTCCATTGTTCTTGAGTCTAGAGTAATGTACAACTGTTCATTTATTAATCTATCCACTCATAAACAGATGTGTATTTCATCACTTAGAATGTTCCAGACACTGTGCTAAGGGCTAGAAATACACCAACAAACAAGAGATGAGTCCCTGCCCAAAAGGAGCTAGAACCCAAAGGAATAATCCATAAGGAGACCAGGCTCTCCAGGGCCTGTCAGTGCACGTTAGCTACTTAGAGACAATTCTCATGTTCTAACTTTCCTCTTCCTGTGTTTTCAAATGTTTAGCCTGAGAAACATGTACTTCTGGTCTTTTACCTTCAGAAACATCCTAAATGTTATCCTGGTCTGGTGTGGCTAATGCCTGAAAGAAATCCAGTTGTAGAGCACAAAGCATAATGAGCAGGGCACAATGGTGCATGCTTGTAATCCCAAGAACTGGGGAGTCTGAGGCAGGAGGATCGAAAGTTTGAGACCATCCTCAGCAATTTAGAGAGGCCCTGTCTCAAAAATAAAAAATATAAGAGGTTGGGGAGCTCAGTGATTAAGCACCCCTGGTTTAATCCCCATTACCAAAAAACGAAACAGAAAAGCACATCTAATAAAGAACACACACACACACACACACACACACACACACACACACACTTTTTTTTTTTTTTTTTGTGGAACAGGGATTGGGCCCAGGGACTTGCGCATGCTAGGCAAGTACTCTACCACTGAGCTGGATCGCCACCCCTTTTTAATTTGAGACAGGGCCTCACTAATTTGCCCAGGGCTGTCCTTGATCTTACAAGTATTACTCTACCTCAGCATCTGGAAAAGCTGGGATTATAGGAGTCCACCACTGTACCCAGCTTCTTTTAGGAAAAAACATGTTAAGCAGCCAGATGTGAGGAAGCATGTCTATAAACCCAGCTACTTGGGAGGCTGAGACAGGAGGATCACAAGGTCTAGGTCAGCCAGGGCAACTAACTTACCAAGACCCTGTCTTTTTTTTTTTTTTTTTGATGTTATTCATTTTTTAGACTCAACACAATGCCTTTATTTTTTGTGCTGAGGATTGAACCCAGGTCTTACCTGTACTAGGCGAGTGCTCTACCACTGAGCCACAATCCCAGCCCTAAGACCCTGTCTTAAGATAAAAAATAAAGGTCTGAGATGTAGTTTAATGTGCCCCGCTATGGGGTTCAATCCCAGTACCACAGACAAGCCTCCACACACTCTACCCTACTTACTTGTATCGATGCAATGGAAATCATCAAAGAATTTGTCCCCTGCCAAGCCTCCATGGATGAAAAGCTTTGTCCCTGCTGCTACCATCATATGACCATGCCGGGGAGATGGAGGACTTCCAAATGTCTCTGGCTGTGACCAGGTCAGAGTATCTAGAAAGTAAATTCATTTACATCAAGTGGCAAAGCTATGAAGCAAGAACGAGAGCAACACATCCAAGCTTCTTTATCACCTCCCAGCAAGCAAGGTGCTCTAAGCAGGAAGCATCCTTCTTAGAGACAAATCCATTCAGATCTCCCTCACACTACAGCCTGCACAGCCTCTGCTTGGATGCTCCCAGGGCTGGAGAGCACACTATCTAACATGCCTGCCCCTTCTCTGGGGCATTAGGAGACCATTTCTTATTTTATATATATATGTATATATATAAACACACACTTTTGTTTTTCAGGTGGAGATGAACACAATACCCTTATTTTATTTTTATATGATGCTGAGGATCGAACCCAGTGCCTCATGTATGCTAGGTGAATGCTCTACCACTGAGCCACAACCCCAGCCCCTATTCTTTTTAATTGAAATGATCTCTTCTTAATCTTCAACCTAGAACTTCCTGAAAGTTAAAATGAACAAATACACTTCTTCTGTGACAAGATTTTTTTTTTTTTGGTACTGAGAATTAAATCTAGGGGTGCTTTTTACCAATGAGCTACATTCTCTCTTGCCCCCCCTTTTTGGGGGTACCATGGGTTGAACCCAGGGGCATTCAACGCTGAGCCACATCCCCAGCACTTTATATATTTTTTTTATTTTGAGACAAGGTCTTGCGAAGTTGCTTGAATTGTGACCCTCCGGCCTCAGCCTCCTGAACTGCTGGGATTACACGTGTGCGCCATGCACCTGGCTATTCCCAGCCCTATTTATTTATTTATTAAAATATTTTGTTTATTTAGTTGTAGTTGGACCCAATATCTTTATTTTATTTTTATATGGTGATGAGAATCGAACCTAGGGCCTTGCATGTACTAGACAAGTACTCTACTGCTGAGCCACAACCCCAGACCCCTTTTCATTTTTTGAGATAGGGTCTCACTAAGTTGCTCAGGGTCTTGGTAAATTGCTGAGGCTGGCCTGGAACTTGAGATCCTCCTGCCTCAGCCTCCTGAGAAACTGGGATTATAAGCTTGTGCCACAGCACCTGGGAAGGATTTAGTTTCTATAGGTGTACAAAATGGGGAGAGAGACAATACCTACTTCTTAGAGTTGAGGTATAAATTAAATGAGATAGTATATATAGTGCATCTCTTCTATATGTTTGTATAAATTAATATATACATACAAAGATTAATATACACAAATGTTCACTGTTCCAATGTCAGCAAAAAGCTAATCAATAAGAAAATCAGGGGAGGGGAGGGGGGATAGTAGAGGATAGGATAGACAGCAGAATACATCAGACACTAGAATGGCAATATGTAAATCAATGGAAGTGTAACTGATGTGATACTGCAATCTGTATACGGGGTAAAAATGGGAGTTCATAACCCACTTGAATCAAACTGTGAAATATGATATATCAAGACCTATGTAATGTTCTGAACGACCAACAATAAAAAAAGAAAAAAAAACAAGAAAAAAAAAAAGAAAATCAATGAATAAGATACACATAGAAGGATATGCTTTGCATGGAAATTGGTACTGACTTAGCAAGCTATTCATAAAGTTTAATTAAATGAAGAAATAATAATAATAATATAGTTAATATTTATTAGGTACTTTTTATGTCTCAGGCACTTTATCATATTATCTCATTTAATCTCTTTTTTTAAAAAAATAATCTTGGGCTGGGGATGTGGCTCAAGCGGTAGCGCGCTCGCCTGGCATGCGTGTGGCCTGGGTTCGATCCTCAGCACCACATACAAACAAAGATGTTGTGTCTGCCGAGAACTAAGAAAAAAAAATAAATATTAAAATTCTCTCTCTCTCTCTCTGTCCCTCTTTCTCACTCTCTCTTTAAAAAAAAAAAAATAATAATCTTTACAACTTCTTACTGGGCTTGGTGATGCATGACTTGGGAGACTGAGGCAGGAGGATCGCAAGTTTGAGGCCAGCCTCAGTAATTTAGCAAGATCTTCAACAATTTAGTAAGAGTGTCTCAAAATAAAAAAAAACTAAAAAGGTCAGGAGCAGTGGCACATTCCTGTAATCCCAGTGGTTGGGGAGGCTGAGGAGAGGGATTGCAAGTTCAAAGCCAGACTCAGTAATTTAGCAAGGGCCTGAGCAACTTAGCGAGACCCTGTCTCTAAAGAAAATACAAAAAAAGGGCTGGGGATGTGGCTCCATGGTTTAGTACCCCTGGGTTTAATCCACAGAATCAAAAAAAAAAAAAACCAAAACATTTTTTTTGTGTGTGTGTGGTAAGCACTACTAATTTCTCTATTTAACCAAACTAAGGCTATCGGAGATTAAGTCACTAGCCTAAAGTAACAAAGAAACCATGTATCAGATCTGGTCTTGATCCCAGTTGTATGGTTTAGAAGTGTATACTTTCAATTACTAAAAACCTACTCCTACTCTAAAAGAAAAGGTGTTCTTCTGGGTGGGGGGAGCATGCTTGTAATCCCAGTGACTTAGAAGGCTGAGGCAAGAGGATCTCAAGTTCAAGGCCAACCTCAGCACTTTAGGGAGGCCCTAAGCAACTTAGAGAGCCTCAGTCTCAAAATAAAAAATAAATAGAACTGGAGTGTAGCTCAGTGGTAAAGTGCCCTGCCTTCAATTCCCAGTGCCAGAAAATAGATAGATAGATAAATGAATATAAGCTGCAGAAAAGTGTATATAATCTGATTTCATGTATGTGCTTTTAAAGTTTTATATGATTTCAAAATTCACAGAATATTTATATATGCACCTATACACAAACCTGTATGATTTATAAATGCATAGGTAAGTCTCAAAGGAGAGATAAGAAATTGCTAATATCATTTACTTATCTAGAGTGGTAAGGAAAGGCTGAAGAAGGAATATTTACTTTTCTCCTTTATGAAGTTTACTGTTTAATTTTTAAAAATTGATCATGGATATCTTTTCAAAGCAAATGTTGCTACAAGAAAAAATACATACCAGCAAAAAAGTCTAGAAGTGAAATATTTGGCCACAATTTCACTTTCCAATCTTTTCTTCCTATACATTAGGTAAACTACCAGCCAACATAGCCCTGAGCAGGTTAAGTGATATCCCTGTAATCTTTTTTTTATTTTTTAATTAATTTATTTATTTTTTAGTTTTCGGCAGACACAACATCTTTGTTTGTATGTGGTGCTGAGGATAGAACCCAGGTGGCACGCATGCCAGGCGAGTGTGCTACCGCTTGAGCCACATCCCCAGCCCCTAAGTGATATTCCTGATAGTCCATACTTGCGTCAAACACATGCAGCTTCACATCCTGCACAGGCTGGGCACCTCTCTCTCCACCTCCAAAGACATAGAGCTGGTTTCCAATAGCTGCTGATGATGTGTGGAATGTTCTTGGAGATGGTGGGGGGCCGGTCACTTCTGGTGTCTTCCAAATCCTGGTTTCTGGTCCGGAGAGAAAGCAGGGTTCTAAAACTTCCAGGCCAAGGGGACCTCTGACCCTTACTCCTTTTTTTTTGTGTGTGTGGGGGTGCTAGTAACTGAACCCAGGGTCTTGTGCATGCTAGGCATGCACTCTGACACTGATCTACAGCCTGAGTTCTTGACCTCCAATCTTGGTAGGGCTAGGCAGGGCCACTTTATTACCCTGATCCTTGAGAAGGACAGCTGAGTTTTAGGTAAGAAGCTCAAATTTAGCTGAGCACCATGGTGCACAACTGTAATCCCAGCAGCTTGGGAGGCTGAGGCAGGAGGATCTTGAGTTCAAAGCCAGCCTCTGCAACAGTGAGGTGCTAAGCAACTCATTGAGACTGTTTCTAAGTGACATACAAAATAGGGCTGGGGATGTGGTTCAGTGGTTAAGTGCTCCTGATTTCAATCCCTGGTACCCCATCCTCATGAATTAAGTTAGCCACACACAGTGGCATGCACCAATAATCCCAGCTACCTGGAAGGTTAAGGCAGGAAGACCATAAGTTCGAGATCAACCTCAAGAATTTCATGAGACTCTGTCTCAAAATAAAGAATAAAAAGTACTGAGAATGTACCTTAGTTATACAGTGCCCCTAGTTCAATATCCAATACCAAAAGAAAACAAACAAAAAACCCTCAATATCCTCTTTATATTATACACTTTGTTGACTACCCTGCCCTGTGTTCATTCAGAGGAGCTCAAAATTTGCTAAAATTCATTCCAACTATTTGCCAGAGTCCAAATGTGCCAAATTTCCCAGAAAATGTAGCCATTAAATGAAAGCAGACAATATTATTACAGTTTCAGTACCAATAATAAGAATCCCTACAAAATAATAAAGCAGTGCAGTGGTACACACCTGAAATCTCAGAGACTTAGGAGGCTGAAGCAGGAGGATGGCAGATTTGAGGTCGGCCACGCCAACTTAATGAGACCGTATCTCAAAATTTAAAAAAGCAAAACAAAAACAAAAAAATTAAAAATGGCTGAGGATGTAGATCGTGGTAATGTATCCCTAGGTGGCATGCCCATGCACAAACAAACGAAGTACTAAATAAATGTTAGATTTCCCCTTTTACAGAGAAAGGAATTTAAGCAGAGATACAGTAAGTCACTTTTATTTACAGTGACCAGGCTAGTAAATGGCCGAGTTGGTATTTAAACTCTGTTTCAATAACACTAGAATCTATGATTATTCTCCTCTTCTGACTTGAGAATAAAAGCTTGCCACCTCATAGATATATAGAAGCTGCTTTCTTTCTAGAATAAAACATGAATTCTATAGAAACGGACGTATTAACTGAACAGTTTCTGTGTGTAAGATCATTGCCCTGAATATTCTGCCACTCCCAATATCCTCACTCACCCCTTGGAGATGGGTAAAAAGTATTTTCATTTTGGAACAAGGAAACTGAAGCTCAGAAACTTAAAATCCTGTCCCCCAGATCATAGCACATCTGAGAAGCAGAGAAGGAGCCTGAACTCATCTCTGTCCTATACTTGCTCCACCACAACATCTCAAGGATTAGTTCTGTTCCTTTTTCTTTTTTGGTAATTTTTCATTTTTTATTTATTTATTTTTATTTTTGGTACCAGGGATTGAACTCAGGGGCATTCAACCATTCCCGGCCCTATTTTGTATTTTCTTAAATTTAGAGACAGGGTCTCACTGAATTGCTTAGCACCTCACATTTGTTGAGGCTGGCTTTGAAATTGTGATTCTCCTATCTCAGCCTCATGTGGCTCGGTGGTTAAATGCCCCTGAGTTCAATCCTTGGTACCCTGGGATTACAGGCATGTGCCACTGTACCCAGTTTATTTTTTATTTTGAGACAGACTTAATGAGACCCTATTTCAAAATTTCACTAAGTTGTTGAGGCTGGCTTTGAACTTGCAATCCTCCTTCCTCAGTCTACTGGGCCACTAGGATTACAGGCATGTGCCACTGCATCCAGCCTAAGGATTATTTCTTGCCTGGAAAATTCTATGCCTTTTGTAAAAGGCCTGCATCCAATATGCAAAATGCTGCACAAAGCATCTGCAATATGTGTGGAACTCAAACATGAACTTGGAGACTGAACAAATCCCAACCCACATTCAAAGCAAAATATAATCGTCTTGGTAGCTACAGATGTTGGACAGCTTTTGGGACTTGGAGTTAGAAGGTGCAGAAGTCAAACATCAACACAACCACAAAGGAGTCTTAAGCCATTTGAAGGGCTTGCTCTGGTAATAAAAGCAACTAATGACTCACATTTTCCATATTCCTTTTTTTTTTTTTTAGAGAGAGAGAGAGAGAGAGAGAGAGAGAGAGAGAATTTTTAATATTTATTTTTTAGTTTTTGGCAGACACAACATCTTTGTTTGTATGTGGTGCTGAGGATCCAACCCAGGCCCCACGCATGCCAGGTGAGCGCGCTACCGCTTGAGCCACATTCCCAGCCCCACATTTTCCATATTTCTTGGGCACTGTGTCAATTATACTTTCCAGGATAAAAAGGGATACAGTGAGAAAATCAATTCCTTTGTAGAAGCTTTCCAAAGTTTCACTGTGTTTTGCTTTTGTATTTTTGCTACCATGGAGTCCAAGGACACTTAACCACTGAGCCACACCCAGTCTTTTTAAACATTTTTTATGTTGCCCCTCACTAATTTGTTGAGGCTGGCTTCAAACTTGAGACCCTCCTGCCTCAGCCTCCCAAGTCTCTGGGATTATAGATGTATGTGACCATGCCTGGCTCACTGTATTTTATTTAAAGAATGCTGTCACTGAGAATCAAAAGGGTAGGTCCAGAACTGATTTCCATTTTCCAAAGCATACCTACATTAACCACAACAACTAACAAATATTGAGAGTTAAGTCTTTGCCAGATATCAAATTAATTTGAACCCTTGTCAAATTAAGGGATGAAACATTACTATCCTAATGTGACAGAAAAGAAATCTGAGGTAGAAAGAAGTTAAATCACTAGCTCAAGGTCATGGTTAGTGCCCAGCAGAGCATACCTGATTAGTGTTTTTTGTTGTTTGTTTGTATGTTTGGTGCTAGGGATTAAACCAGAGACTGTCTCATGCTAGGCAAGTGTTCTACCACTGGGATACATACCAAACCCTTTTTATTTTATTTTGAGACAGGGTTTTTCTAAATTGCTGAGGCTAGACTCAAATTTGCAATCTTCCTGCCTTAGCTTCCTAAGTAGCTGAGATTGGTCATGTGCCATCACATCCAGCTTGTCAATAATATTCATAGAGAAAAAAGCAAAATTTTAAAAATGACAAAAAGACAAGTCCACCTCCCACAAGTAGTTCAGCAACCTCCTCCTGGGAGTGATGCTCTCAAATTGCTTTTCCTTTGATACAACTACCAGTGAGACTGGAAAGGGACCAGCCAGTTTTGGCTTAAAGAAACACTAACAAGACCTGAGGCAGAGTATCTTACCTTTGGTATTGACTGGCATTTTAGAGCAGTCCTGTGCCTCACAGGACATAAAGCAGCATCTCTGAGCTCTAACCACCTAGTCCATAGCTACCCTGACCCCTGCTGTGAAAACCAAAAATGTTTCCAGATATTGCCTGATCTCACTTGTGGGACATAGAAGTCCTCACTAGAGAACCACTGATCTAGGTAACCTGGGTTCTAGCCTGTTCAGTTACTGACTCCCTGGTAACTTTAGGAAAGTCACATCCCTCTCCTTGGATCTTAGCTGCCCACTGGCATAGGTGTTCTCCAAAGTCCCTTCCAGCTTGGATATTTAAGGAGTTGATAAATTCATGTTTTTTATGAGGTCAGAAAAATTAAATGAATTAATTAGTTCAATCCAAACATATTGGAATTATAGTTGAAATTATGTGTGCAAGATGAAAATAAACCAACTTTTGGCTACTTACCAAGATTCAAGACTTGGAGACAATTTCGATTTCCTGACTGGTCGGCCCCTCCAAATACCCAGATGCTGCCAGGTGTGCAGGAAGGAATGAAGCTGGCATGTTCATACCGCGGCGAGAGGCCCCCATAGGTAGCTAAGTCCCACTGGTGTGTCCCTAGAAAACATTTCACTCAGTTCCTCAATTGGGGCTGTCAAATGCTTATGTTGTTTGGCAAATTTGGGGAGGGTAGTTAAAAAAAAAAAAGGCCAAGAGCACAAATGAACGACTATTAAGTCACTTAAGGGAATGGGGTCAACCTATGAGACAATTGATAATAGACACTTTGGGGGCTATCTGCCTGTCCATAAGCCCTAGTCTACGGAAACTATCCTCATTCTCCCTTCTAACCAAATGGGTAGAGCCCAGAAAAAATGTCTGTATCACTTTGACTTTCTAGTCTCAGTTGACTGAGTAAGAGGTAGCCAGTTAATCTAATGGGCCAAGCAGGCAGGGAAAGAGAGAGAGAAGGGAAACTGCATGGTAAAGGAAGGAGACCCTTATTGTTATACAAAATTACATATAAGAGGAAGTGAGGGGAAAGGGGAAAAAAAAACAAGAGAGAGAAATGAATTACAGTAGATGGGGTAGAGAGAGAAGATGGGAGGGGAGGGGAGGGGAGGGGGGATAGTAGAGGATAGGAAAGGCAGCAGAATACAACAGACACTAGTATGGCAGTATGTAAAAAAGTGGATGTGTAACCAATGTGAATCTGCAATATGTATATGGGGTAAAAATGGAAGTTCATAATATGCTTGAATCAAATGTATGAAATATGATATGTCAAGAGCTTTGTAATGTTTTGAACAACTAATAATAAAAAAAAAAGAAGAAAAAAAAATAAATGGGCCAAGCAGAGCCACTGTTTCCACTCTCTCATGAGGGGATGTGCTTCCTGCCCCTGGATTCTGCAAAACATCTCTGATATCTTTATAAATTTCTCCTTTTCTCTCTCTTTTTAAGTGGGTGTCTCTTACTGTAACTAGCTGATTTTGGCTAAACCAAGTTCACTGAAAAATAACACCTGACCTATTAGTTGTTTTATTTTATTTAAAAAAAAATCTTATTCGTGGGCTGGGGCTTAGCGGTAGAGCACTTGCCTCGCTCTTACAAGACCCTGGGTTCAATCCTCAGCACCACATAAAAATAAATAAGTGAAAAAAAGGTATTGTGTCCAACTACAACTAAAAGATAAATATTTAAAAAACTTATTAGTTGTAGATAGATACAATGCCATTATTTTTTTAAATTTATTTTTATGTGGTGCTAAGGATTGAACCCAGTGCCTTATACATGTTAGGCAAGTACTTTACCATTGAGCTATAACCAGGGCCCTATTAGTTGTTTTAGTTAGAAAACCATTTCCTAGGATGTTCCAAGGCACCATCTTTTTGAATCATTATGGTGGCCAACAGAAGCAAATTATATCCACACTACATTGTACTCTGAGGTCCATATGGTTTAGCCAGGAACACAAAGCTAGTAACAGGTTGCAAGGTGTAACTTTGGGCTGGGTATGAACTCAGTGGTAGAATGCCTGCCTAGCCCTGAGTTTTATTCCCACGCCACAAACAGAACAAAACAAAAAAAGATATAATTAAAAAGTGAGTTCCTTGATGGCTGAAAATGACTTGCATTTTTTCCTCCAGTCCTGGGCATCAAACTCAGGGTCTTGGGCATGCTAGGCAAGCATTCTACTAGAAGAGATTCAATTTGCCTTGGATTTCCTAGTGCAAGGAGTAGAGATTCAAATGCCCAGAGTGGAGAAGCAAGGACTATGACAACTTGGAGAATGAATGTCCCATCAATAGGTGCAGCTCAGCACCAAATAATTGTTACCAAGTAGCCATGCAGGTCTAGAGATGTCAAACCATTTTAAATTATCACGAGAGAGACAGTTGTAGTTCAGAGCATTTGACTACATGTACAAGGCCCTGATTCAATCCCCAGCACTGGGGGGAAAACAAAAACAAAATAATAACAACAACAACAAAATGATTTGGCTTCTTAGGATAGTGTGTGTGTGTGTGTGTGTGTGTGTGTGTGTGTGTGTCCTCGCATGTTCTAGGCAAGCATTCTATCACAGGGCTATATCCCTAGCCCATCAATTTTTAAATGTAGACCCCTGCACGTGTGTACGTGTGTGTGTGTGTGTGTGTGTGTGTGTGTGTGTGTGTGTGTGTGTGTGTGTAGTAGGCCTTGAATGTTCTAGGCAAGCATTCTATCACAGGGCTATATCCCTAGCCCATCAATTTTTAAATGTAGACCCCTGCACACTTATTTTGTAAACAACATATGACTAAAACAAAACAAAACAAATTATATGGAATTAACAAAACATGTATGTGGATCACCAGTTTTTAAATTCTTCCCCAAGTATAGCACATAGTAGTCACTGGTTCATTAGTTTGTTCACTCACTCATTCCTTCCTTCATTCATTGATTCGTTCATCCAAATACTTAAAAAGCACCTGCTCTGTGCTAAGTGCTCTGGTAGTGGCTGGGGATACAATGATAAATAAAATAACCATGTTCCCTTGTTTCCAAGGAGCTTACACTCTGTGGGGAAGAGCCTTAGGAAACAATCCCATGTGCTATGAACCGTGAAGGGGAAGAGGTTGGGACAGTGCACAATACTGTGGACCACAGAAGAAGGTAGTGACTAAATTAATCCAAAAGTACCAGGGAAAGAATCCTGACAGAAATAATTAGTTCTTTCTTTTCTTTTCCTTTTTTTTTTTTTTTTTTGTACCAGGGATTAAACCCAGGGGTGCTTAACTGCTGAGCCACATCCCCAGCCCTTTTCATGTTTTATTTTGAGACAGGGTCTTACTAAGTTGCTTAGGGCCTTGCTAAATTGCTGAGGCTGGCTGTGAACTCGTGATCCTCCTACTTTAGCCTCCTGAGTTGCTGGGATTACAGACATGAACCACCATGCCCAGCCAGAAATGACATTTAATTTGGGATTTGGGAAGAACTTTCCATGCAAGGGTATGCCATGGCTTGGAGGGGGAAGTTCAAAATATATTCAAGAAGGGCTGGGATTGTAGCTTAGTGGTAGAGTCTTGCCTAGCACATGTGAGGCACTGGGTTTGACCCTCAGCACCACATAAAAATAAATAAAAGATATTGTGTCCAACTACAACTAAAAAAAAAAATTAAAAAAAAATATATTTTTTTTCAAGGAAATGAAGGCTATTCAGTGTAGCAAATGTGGTTTGGTGAGAGCCAATAAATGAGGTTGGGAAAGGCTTAAAAAGGAGACTGATGGGGCTGAGGCTGTAGCTCAGTGGCAGAGCACTTGCCTAGCATGTGTGAGGTAATGGGTTTGATGCTTAGCCCACATAAAAATAAATAAATAAAATAAAGACATTCTGGGCTGGGATTGTGGCTCAGCAGTAGAGCGATTGCCTAGCACGGGTAGGACCCGGGTTCGATCCTCAGCACCACATAAAAATAAAGGCATTGTGTTGTGTCCATCTACACCTAAAAAAATAAATATTAAAAAAATATACATATAAAATAAAGGCATTCTGTCCATCTACAACTATAAATAAATAAATAAATAAATGGAATTGGACTTGTATCTAAGACAACATTCTCTGGCTAGGTCTAGAAAATGCACTGTAACCAGGCTGGGGATACATCTCAGTTAAATAAAAAATAATAAAAAAAAAAGGGCTGGGGCTGTAGCTTAGGTGGCAGAGCACTTGCCTAGAATGCATGAGGCACAGGATTCAATCTTCAGCACCACATTAAAAAAAATAATAAAGACAAATAAAATAAAGGCAGTCTGTCCATCTACAACTACAAAAATATTAAAAGAAAACTGGGCTGGGGTTGTGGCTTAATGGTAGAGTGCTCGCCTAGCATCCACAAGGCACTTGGTTTCATCCTTAGCAGCACATAAATGTAAAATAAAGATATTGTGTCCATCTAAAAAACTAAAAAATAAAATTAAAAAAAAAAGAAAATGCACTGTACAGTGGGTAAACTTGGAGACAGGGAGACCAGTGAGGAGGTGATTCCAACAGTTTAGTTGAGAGGTAACAGTGGTTTGGACTACAGTGGTAGTAGTGAGAATGGACCAACATGGATGAAGATCGGAGATATTTGTGACCCAAAGATTCTTTGAATAGGTGAATGGAAGGAGAGGTGGGAGTCACTGATGTCTCCTGGAGAAATATTTGATGAATCAGTGATTGGATGTCCTGGGCTCCATATGGGCCCATAGGAGGTCTGACCCCCTAAACAAGGAGGCACTGGTCAGGTGAATATGTGCCAATCTGCTGAAACCTGTCAATGATGTACTTTTATCCTGCTATCTGGTTGGAGCTGGTATTCTGAAGAATGCTCTGCTCACACCTGGCAGCATAAAGCCAGCTGCATTCTGCAGCATTGATCTTACCCAGATTCATGGTGTACACATCTGAGAAGCTTCTGTTTGGATTTGCTCCTCCAACAATGACGACCTTCCCTCTCTTGGCATCACCAACTGGGGGTAAATATGAGCAACTGTGGCCAACTCGAGCACAGGGGCTGTCTCCAGGGGGAGTCAAGGTGTACCTGCCAAAGGGAGGATGTATTCAGGAGACCTAAGCACAGAACAAATGTAGGGGTGTGTTCTTTTCATTGCTCATGAAGCATTCACAGAAGGAAGGACCTGATACATACACAGACACTTTAACTGTATCCAGCAAAACAGCCCTTCCCTGATCAACAGGAGTATCTTTCTATGTTCACAGCTTTGGTTTTTCAATTTTGTCACTACTTCCACCTTATATAACCTAAGTGAGATGCACTGGGTTGGTAATGACCCCATATGGTGGACAGGGAAATGACATCCAGAAATGTTCACTTTTTATGTCTTGACACAACAGCATAGTTAGTGGTTATAAACGTGGTTTGTGAATTTGGACAGACCTGGTTCTAGTCTCAGCTCCAGTACTTTCTAGATGTACGACCTGGAAGTCACTTAACCCTTCCGAACTTCACTTTCTTCATTTGTAAAACAAGGAGAGCAACAGGTCTTACCTCAAAAGGTGGCTGTGAAGACTCAAAGCCAGTAGCAGTGTAGGAAGGGTCTTGTTAAAGGGTGCCTTCATGGGGATGCCTACAGACTCAGGTTCTTGCCACTAACCATGATGTCTCCCTGTCCAGAAAAGTTTTCTAGGATTTGTGGATTTTAAGAGCCTTTCCAGATTACTCATAAAGCTCAACCTGATGCAAGCCAAAGCTAAGACTTGGAAAATTGCATACAGGATTCAGTCATTCCATTCTCTAAAGTTATTCTGAATGCTAACTGAGAAAACACATTTTAAAGTTTCATGATTAGAAAAGAAAATTCCCCGGGCTGGGATTGTGGCTCAGTGGTAGAGCGCTTGCCTAGCATGTGTGAGGTACTAGATTTGATTCTCAGCACCACATATAAATAAACAAAATAAAAGTCCACTGACAACTAAAAAAATATATATTAAAAAAGAAAAGAAAATTCCCTAGCTGTTTTTTAGGCCATGTTTTATTGACATCTCTGATGTCTGATATTCCCAACCCTCCCCTCCTCCTTTTACCTTTCCCCTAATCTTGCTTCACCATACCTCTACCTTTTGAATCTCCATTCACTTTTCTGTTTCCTTCTCTGATTTCTTTCCTGAAAGCCTCCTCCTAACTCTCAGTATCCTTAGAATTCTCTTTTTCTCAGTTTATGTTTGCTTCAATTACCACCATCTCTATCATCATCCATGATTTCCAAATCTCTACTTCATATTCAGATCTCTTCTGACTTCCAGATCTGCATACCCCATTACCACCTGGATAGTTACTAACAATGTGCCACACACACAACTCTGACAATGTGCTGACATCACAACCCTGGTTCATTTCATCTGCACAGAAGCACTTTGAGGATCAGTACTATTATCATCATTTGAGTTTTACAACCAAGGAACTGAGGCTTAGAAAAGCCCAAAGATTAATAACTTACCTAAGAACACATACATATCTAGATAGATGGTTAATAATACAAGGCCTCAAAGCCCTTACAAACTAGTTGGGAAGAAACATTAAACAAGTTCACAAATATCTATTTCAGGACAGGACTAGCTATTTGTCTAACACAAGACAAATAATATGGGAATGTACCAGGAGTGCTTGACCCTGTAAAGAGAGGTGGGGGTGGAGCGGAGGCAGCTTCCTGAAGAAGGACCATTTGAACTGAGATGTGAAGTAGGAGTAGAAATTAGCTGGGGAAAGAGATGAAAGTTGAAGGGAAAGAGAGGTCCAGGTGGAGGAACTAGCATGTACAGGACCTGAGTGGGACACTGAAGGCAATGCTAAACGAAGAGAGAGCAAAAAAACAGGTAAGGATATTTGAAGTTGGAAGGAAAGGCAGAAATAGATTATGCAGGGACCAGTGGGAGAGTATAAGGAGTCTGTCAATTTTTCTTTTCAAGTGCTAAGAATGGAACCTAGGATCTTGCACATGCTAGGTAAATACTCTATCACTGAGCTCCACCCCCAGCCCTCAAAAGGGTTTTAAGCTAGAGAATGCCATGATCAGATATGTGTTAGGTACCCAACAGGATGGAAGCAGGGGAGCCATAGGAGGTTCTCCTTCAAGGTCCCGTGGAAACACTGCCACTTCTATGCAGCTTTCTTTGACTCTGCCTCAACACTGATCACATGCTATCACCAAGACCTGCTTAGTCTAGAGCCCCTACTACACAGAGAGTGTTGATCTTTGGACCTCCAGACCCTCCACAGCAGCTGCCTCTGTCAGAACAGTATTATTGAATGAAGGGTTGGTTGAACAAACATCTAAGAAACAGTGAAGCCAGTGAATTTGAATGCAAATTCAATTCCCTAAAAATTTTAAAAATGAGTCACAGCTCGGGGGAAGACACTACATTAGAGTTGAGGATGCCAGATGGTTAGTGCCTTACTCTTCTTGGTAAAGGATTTTAATAAAATTAACATCTGCTCTGTAATAATTATTGCCCCCTCATCTTTCCTCTGGACACCTTCTCAGACAGTTGGAGACTAATTACCAGAAATTGCAGACAGTTTCATCTCTACTCTTTTTCACTGATGACCAAATACATTAGTAAACTATTTATAAACGAAACAAAAGCTTCTCTGTGTGTGTGTATGTGTGTGTGTGTGTGTGCATGCACACGTGAGTGAATCCTCTTTTACAGACCATGTTGCTTTCTTGGGTTTGTCTCCAGGCTCCAAGACTGGCAGCTGCTTCATGGTGTCCTATGCATAAGAATAAAAGACACTTTTAGATATTTACGATTATCTTCTTCATAAAACACAGAACAAATCAGGTTACCCTCCCCTTTAAAACCTCTCCTGTTGAGGGGTTGGGGATATAGTTCAGTGGTTGAGTGCTTGCCTAGGATCCCCAGTACCACAAAACAAACAAACAAACAAACAAAACTTTCCTGTTGAATGTACCAATGTCTAAGGCCTGATTAATCTGAATAAGAATCATGAACCTTTTCATATAATATTTTTCTTTTTTTTTTTCAGTGCTAGGGGTTGAACCTTGACCTAGTGTATTGCTAGGTGAGTCCTCTACCTTTGAGCTACACCACCCAACCTTAACATAACTTTCTTAATATAACTATATGGTTTTTTTTTTTTTGGCTAAAGTTTTCTATGTGTCCTCTGATTCTCATGGGGAAGGGGCATATGCCAAAATTTTAGAGTCTGTAAGATGTTTATGTTTATCAAACATCCTAAGAGTCTGAGAAATATTGAACTCTGGGATAAATCTTGGCCTCATCATGACAGAAGGTCAGGCCTTCTGGTGTCTTCTGATTCTCTTGCAAAGTGACTTCCACAATGTCTTGCAATACTGGGCTTTTTGTTGCTCCTATTATATGGCAGGTCGTTTTATGACTTGCAGCCCAAGCAGCTTCCCCTACTTGGAATGTCCTTTCCCTTCTTGTAAACTTGCAAACTCCTAGTCAGCCTCTAAATCTCAGCTCAAATATTCCTTCAAGAAAAGCTCTCTCTCTCTCTCTTTTTTTTTTTTTTTTTTTGCTTTTCACTTCTACTCCCCCAAATTATTTCCTTCTACCTGAGGGCTGACATTTTTAATTAAGCTATCATTGCAGGGATTATTCTGGATCTAAGTATCTATTTAGGGCTGGGGATGTGGCTCAAGAGGTAGCGCCACATACAAATAAAGATGTTGTGTCCGCTGAAAACTAAAAAATAAATATTAAAATTCTCTCTCTCTCTCTCTCTCTCTTAAAAAAAAAAAGTATCTATTTAAAGTCTCTAGATTCGATTCTAGATTAAATTCCTGGAGTGCTGGGTCAGTACAATTTGTTCTGAGAATTTACCAATGGACCTAGAATAGAGTAGAAGGGAGTGAAGGATGAGTGAATGAAGAAAGGAAATGGATTAATGAAGAGATAAAATGATAAAAACAAACCGAGGCTTAGGACACTGACTATAGCCCCAGAGCCTAAAGCTCAGTGGATGGGCTTTGCATGAGCAGGAACCTCTCCCAGCCGCCCCTGCTATCCCCCTCGCGGAGTCCCATCCCGTTGTGGGAACTCTAGGGTACAAAACACAGGGCGAGGAGAGAAATGCTGGTGGCCGGGTCGGAGACTGGTGTCCACTCCAAGGTAAAAGATATGGCCCCCCCTCCCCCCATGGCGCTCAGATCCCCAGGCCGGGAGATTCCCCCGTTCAGGACTACTTTACCTGCGGCAGCTTAGGCCAGTCCCTATCTGTGGCTCCGCCCCTGAAGGGGGCGGGACTCAGGCCATTGCCCCTCCCCACAGGCCCCGGAAGCGCGTCGGGGCCAACAGCTTCCAACAGCTTTCCGACTTGGGCTGTCAGCTGCCTGGGAAGGGGCAAAGAGGGAACGCTCGGGACCCCGAAGTCCTCCAGCAGGAACAGGTCGGACTTTCCCTGGAGTCCTCCCTCCCCAGCGGAGAAAATAAGCCAGGGTTACTTGGAAACGACATACAAGGGAAATGCCCGGCGTTGGATGTCCACTTGGGCAGCTGGTCTGTCCTCAAGACCAGTTCAAGTTTGGTGCCTTAAATAGCTGACTCATTCTGTAATTGCCATTTGAATTATAGCATGCTCAGGACAACATGCCTTGGCCTCTCGGACTTTACAGTCTAACTTGAAAATGGAGAAACAAGAATGGTTGTAAAGAATGAAGGGAGGGGCTGGGACTGGGGCTCAGTGGCAGAGCACTTGCCTTGCACGTGTGATCTAACTATTATAGGTTCCATCCTCAGCACCACATAAAAAATAATAAACAAAATAAAGGTATTGTGTCCATCCACAACTAAAAAAAAAAATGCAGGGAATAAAAAGCTCATCACTTCTCAAGAAGTGACTTATTCTGGGCCTCAGTGTCCTCCATCTTTAACATAGAGCCAATCATATTTCTGTGACAGTCATGGCGGGAAGTACAGGAGATAATGTAAAGTGCTCAGCACCCAGGTGCTGGCACAGAGCAGGTCCTCTGTGAAGGGATAAGGCTCTTTGTGAACTACTGTGGGTAGGTATGAACATCTGCATTTTTAAATTATAATTTTAATTAATTTTTTACACTGGGCATTGAATCCAGCAAGTTATACTCCCAATCTTTAAAAAAATATTTTTAGTTGTTGATAGACCTTGGTTTTATTTATATGTGGTGCTAAGAATTGAACCCTGTGTCTCACACATGCTAAGCAAGTGCTCTAACCCTGAGCTACAACCCCAGGGCATCCCCAATCCTTTTTATTTTTTATTTTATTTTATTTTTTTTAAGTTTTATAAATTCATTTTATTTATTTACTTTTTATGTGGTGCTGAGGATCGAACCCAGTGCCTCACCCATGCTAGGCAAGTGCTTTACCACTGAGCTATAGCCCCAGCCCGTTATTTTTTATTTTAAAACATAGTCTTGCCAAGGTGTCCAGGCTAGCTTTGAACTTGCCTTTCTCCTGCCTCAGCTTCTCTAGTCACTGGAATTACAGCCACCCAGTATTAGCTTTTTATGTTTTAATTTAAGGCTGGGCTAACCAGTTAGACCTCATTAGTCACACTGAAACCACATGCAACTTTATCTTATTTCTGTCTTTTTTGCAGAGCTAGGGATCAAACTCAGGGCCTGTGCATGCTAGGCAAGCACTCTACCACTGAGCTACACCTCCAGCCCCTACATTATCTCTGATCCACATCCTAACTATAGGTTCTTTGTGACCTTCCTGAAAGGGTGGCTCACCTATGTCTGATCTAGAGAATCACACTCTGAGCAGAGAAAATGGTTAAGACTGGAAAAGTAGGAACTCCAGGACTATAGCACTATGGTAGCTTAGTGGAAAGAGGTCAGAATTACTTGTGTTCAAATCCAGGCTCTATCAAGAACCATCAGACTCTCACACTGGGCAAGTTCATTAGCCTTCTTGAACCCTAGTTTCCTCATCTATAATGATAGGGATAATAATGCCTACTGTGCAGAGACAGGGGTCAAGAGGACTCCATAATACAGGTGAAAAGCCATCTTGGTAAATGTTTTAGCTACTTGAAGCATAATCAAATTATGGACAAAATGGAATTTGAAGGCTGCAGCTCTCCTAACTGCTTTATGATACTATTTCTAACACCTATAGAGTTTTCATGAATTCTTTGTTAATGGTGAAATCCCCACTCACTGTCAAAGAGGAGTTTATGGATACACAGTCATTCTGTTCCTCTTCAGGAAAGAAAACTAAGGCCAGATTTTCTCTACCTTATGTCCACACACATCTAGACAGTGATTTCTGCTCAGAGATGCAGAATACTTTTAAGTCTCGTGGGTCTTTTGACTAGGTCTACTTCAAGGCGCCATGCTGGATATGGCATGAAGTGTCATATATTAACAAACAAACAAAAATCAGAAAAGGTCTGTGAGCAAAACAACAACTAGTCAGGTGAGGTGGCTCATGCCTATAATCCCATGACTCAGGAGGCCCTGGCAGGAGGATTTCAAGTTCAAAGCAAGCTTCAGCAATTTAGTGAGGCCCTGAGCAATTTAATGAGACCCTGTCTAAAACAAAAACAAAAACAAAAACAAACAAACAAACAAACAAAAAAAAAACAAGGCTTGTGGATAAAGCTCAGTGGTAAAGTGCCCTTGGGTTCAATCCCCAGTATCAAAATATAAACAACAACAAAATAACAACCACTTTTTACTGTGGAACCTATGGTTCTGGACTAGAAATCACATTTGAGAATTCTGGAAGGAACATTTGAAATTTATTTTTTAAATGGGAGTCATGTAGGCATGGAGGTGCACACATGTAATAGCAGTGACTTGGGAGGTGGAGGCAGGAGGATTGCAAGTCCAAAGCCAGCCGCAGCCAATTAGTGAGGCCTTAAGCAACTCAGCAAGAAACCCTGTTTCAAAATAAAAAATGAAAAGGGATAGGGATGTAATTAGGTAGTTAAGTGCCCCTGGGTTCTTAACTACCAAACAAAATAAAACACTAAAATGGGATTCAAGGCCTAAAGAAGTAAAAATCACTTACCCACGTAAATGACAGAACTGGGAGACCAGATCCTCTGCTCTGTGGAAGGAAGACAAAGAACACTTTCCAGTCATTGAACTGTGTACTCTTTCAGACCCAAATCATTCAGTATGTCTTACCTTTCCTAAGAACATGCCCAACACCCTGAGGGATGCTTTCCTCCTCTCTGCTATGGACATGAAGAGTAAGTTTCACTCTATGAGGTGGGTCTGCAATAGGGGCTTCTCGTGGCCAGTTTGGTAAAGCACTGCCACTTCTTTTCACCAGAGGGCACACCACTGATCCATTCACTGACTTATCAGCAATGAATGCAGGTGACACCTTCCTTTTAAGCACTTCACAGTTTATATAAAAGCTCATATTCATCTCACTTTTTGTCTTATTTTCCACTTTTAAGAAGGTATCTTGAATATAATTTATTCCCAATTATTAAGGTTCAGGGATGAAATGTGAATCACCAGCTTTCCTAAGAAGATTGCAATAAAAAGACCAACTAACAATAGCATCTTTTCCCCATTTGTAATTTTTCCCAAAGAAAGTATACTATTTTATTTTTTGCAACTCTTAAGTAGTTAATTCTTCAGAAAGATCTTTCTTGTCCACCCAATACTTAGTGCTACAATGGGCTTTACTCTGTGATAGATGTTGTTTAAGTCACTTTCGTGTATTTACTCTGTTTTAAACTTCAGCACAAGCCTATGAGGTATTATTTTTATCTCACTATGATGTGGGCACTAATTTTATTGCTGACATATAGCAACTGAGAAAACTCTTCCATATGACTTCAACTCTTCCATATGACTTCCCCCAGATATCTACATATCTCTAAAGGATAAGTAACTTGCTCAAAATCACACAGTAAGTTGGGCTGGGGATGTGGCTCAAGTGGTAGCGCACTTGCCTGGCGTGCGTGTGGCTCAGGTTCGATCCTCAGCACCACATACAAACAAAGATGTTGTGTCCGCCAAAAACTAAAAAATAAATATTAAAAATTCTCTCTCTCTCTCTAAAAAGAGAATCACACAGTAAGTAGTAGAGCCTGGATTCGAACTCTAATCATCTAGTGCCACTGGGATTACAGGCATGTGCCACCACGCCAGTCTTCTCATTAAAATTTATTCCAATGAGACAGGTGCAGTGGCACATGCTTGTAATCCCAGTGACTCAGGAGGCTGAGACAGGAGGATCACAAGTTCAAAGCCAGGGTCAGCAATGTAGTGAGGATTTAAGTAACTTAGCAAGATCCTATCTAAAAAACAACAACAACAACAACAAAAACCACAAATACAAATAAAAATGGGCTGGGGATGTGGTTCAGTGGCTAAGTGCCCCTGGGTTCAATTCCCTGTAATAAGAAAAAAATATTTTTAAATTTTATTGAGGTTAGAGGTATAGTAGTTCAGTAGTAGGCAGCTTGCCTAGCATGTAGGAGGTCCTGGGTTTGAGCTCTGGCACCACCACAGTAGGGAAAAGTTTATCCCATTGTTCCCAAAATATACTCTAGAGCAAGAGGATTCAGTCCAGGATCACTGGGGATTGAATTTAGGGGTGCTTTACCACTTAGCTACAGAGTCTTATCAATTGTTGAGGTTGCTTTGAACTTGTGATTCTCCTTCCTTACTGGGATTACAGGCTTGTGCCATGATGACAGATAGTCCTGTCTCTTACAATTTTTTTTTTTAAAGAGAGAGAGAGAGAGAGAGAGAGAGAGAGAGAGAGAGAGAGAGAGAGAGAGAGAGAGAGAGAATTTTTTAATATTTATTTTTTAGTTTTCGGCAGACACAACATCTTTGTTTGTATGTGGTGCTGAGGATGGAACCCCAGGTGCTCGCATGCCGGTCCAGCGTGCTACAGCTTGAGCCACATCCCCAGCCCCAGTCCTGTCTCTTAAACAACAAATATTGATGATGCACTTGCTACTATGGGTTATATAAGTCTTCTAATATCTCAGTTGCAACCATTGCCCTCTTGTAGTCTCATACAGCAGCCAGAGTGATCCTTATTTAAAAAGTCAGATAATTTTACTCCTTAATTTCCTTTAACATCAAAAGTAAGAAAAAAAAATCAATGTACTCCATTTCTCTCTGATCTTTCCTACTCTTACCTTGCTCTAACAACACTAGTATTGCTTATCCCCAAAGACTTTAGATTTGCTTCCATCTCTGCATCAGCTCTCCTATATGACTTTCCCAGGTATCTGCATAGCTAACTCCCCCATTTCTTTATTGTTTTTCTTTTTTTTTTCTGAATTCAGGGGCACTCAAACACTGAGCCACATTCCCAGCTCTATTTTGTATTTTATTTAGAGACAAGGTCTCCTTGAGTTGCTTAGAGCCTAGCTGTTGATAAGGCTGGCTTTGAACTCCTGTCTCAGCCTCCCCAGCTGCTGGGATTATAGGCATGCGCCACCTGGCCCAGCTTCTTTTTTTCTTAAAAATGCTCATTACCCCATCTCTTTATCCTACTGTTTTTTTTCCCCTCTTATATCACATATCACTTTTTAACGCAATAAGTAATCTATTATTATTTATATTCTGTCTTCATCTTCTATAAACTACAGGATGAGGATAAAGATTTTTGTTTTCCGTGTTCACTGAATAACTCAAGTCTCTACAACTGCAATGGTACATAGTTGGTGCTCCAAAGAATAAACCAGCGTAAAGGGTACACTAAGTGCCAGGTACTGTTCTTGGCACTGGGGATACAACAACAACAAAAAACCTTTCAGCCCTTGTAGAACTCCTACGGGAGTACGCTTAAATCAGTACCTATTTTCCAATCTTGGCTCCACCGTTTCTTTCCTGAGATTTTGGGCAAGTTTAACTTCTGGGCCTCGCAGTTTTATCAGTCCTTCTGCGGATTAAGTGGGGGGGAAAATAGCCTCTGTATAGCATTTAGTGTAAGAAATGGTTTCCCTTCCTTCCTGTTCGGAGGACGGGAGTCTGACATCTGTGCCACAGGTCTAGGCGAGGTCTTCACAAGGCCTTGGAAGGTGTAAACGGGTTGCTATAGCCAAGCTTACCCGATTTTTAACTGAAGATGTTCTGGTGGGAGAGTGCTTAACAGGGTCGGCATGAGAAACGAGTGAATGCCTAGAGTCACCCACTTCGCCGTTTTGCCTCGGAAAGGTCTCGCCGGTTCCCCTAGGAAGAGTCACAAGGAAGGGAAGGGGAAGAAAAAGAATAGTTGGCCACACTCGAAAACTACAAATCTCGGCTCGCTCAGCGGTAGACAACTACGCGTCCCAGTCGGTGTCTCTGGCCGGATCTACGGGGTCCCTCAGGGCTTGTGACCCGGGTTCAGCCAGACTGGGCACGGGGTAGCCCGAAGCTGCGCGGAGAATCCGCCAGGCTCTGACGTCGCTGCGCGTACGCCACTCACGGGCCGGACGTGACGTAGGGAGAGTTCCGGCTTCGGCCTCCGCCGCTGCCTCCGCTACTCCAGCGCCGCCGCCGCCGCTGCCGCGGCTTGTGATTCCTAAAATGGCGCCTCTAGATCTGGACAAGTATGTGGAGATAGCGCGGCTGTGCAAGTACCTGCCGGAGAACGACCTGAAGGTGAGCCCGACCGGAGGGAGACCCACTTGCGGGGCTCGCCCCTTCCGGCTGCGGGGCGTCCGCCGGCCCGCCCTTCCTCTCCGCGGGACCCCTGCCAGGTGTACCGGCGGGTCGCAGTGGAGGGCCCTCCGCTGTGCCTGACGATGCGGTCCACCTTGGCGTCACGCGGAGAGCCGGGGAAGCCGGAGTCCCCCGAATGCTGTCCTGGTTCCCTTGGCTGCGATCCCCAGGGATGTCGCGGCCTCTGCCCCGGGGTCGCCTCTTCTGGCCTTCGGACTGTCCCAGTTGCTTTGCTTAAAGGACTTGTCCGGGTCCGCGGAGTTGGAGCTGAGCCCGGGGGGCGGTGCGCCGGGAGAGGGTCGTCCCCACCAGAGGTGACAGCGGCGCGGGAGGCCGGCATCTGACAGGCGTACCGCCCGTGGGTTCCTGAGGAGTGGGAAGGGCTGGACCGCAGCAGTGTGGCAATGATGTGACAGAATGTCAGGTTGCCCCTTTTAACTTACCACTCTTTCACGTCGCCTTTTTTGAGCGTGTGCGTTCATACTTCAGCATGAATCCGGTTTCCGAGCACGTTATTGAGTTTATTTCAGTGAATAGTCAGTCGGCAATGAGTCCTTTAAGTTCCCCCCCCCCCCGAAATAACCTCTTAACTCAAGATTTAGTTTTATTGGTTCTCTAAAGGAGGGAACTTATTCCTCGTTACTACCGAGTCCAAGGAAGACATAAAGATGCGGGCAAAGGAATGAAAGTAAAGATAAAGGAGAGTAAGTGGTATACTGTTTTTTTGAAATGTTTCTGTGTTTTGGGTAAAACCAGTGTTTAGGTTCCCAATAGTGTTTATCCGCTAGTGCTAGTGTCTGTTTTATTTGTTCAGTTAACTTTTGTTTTTGATATGTGGTAAATGGGTAGACTGTTGATAACTTGAGTTCGTCTTATGCTTATAAGCTATGGATATAAAACAATTTATCTTTCAAGAAAAAAGCTACTTGTCAGTGAATTGTTTCTCTCAAGGAAGATTTTACTGTGTTCTTCCCCTTCCCCCATTCTCCTTTGGTATAGAAGTTTGATATTTAACATCAGTCAACAAGTATGAGAAACGTTAAGGTCCCATGTGCTGTTGCGAATGAATGTAACTGTTAACTATATCTGTTAATAGGGGAGTCATTCGTGTGCATTTTCCATTTTTAATACAATGAAAAACTTTTACTAGAAGTAATGCAGCATTCATATTCATCCAAGTTCATCAGTTTGTGGCTTCTGTTTTGTGCTTTTTTTAGGAAACAACACAACTAACCGTGAGACCTAATTAATGAAAAACTAACCACACTTCTTTTGATGGCATTGTTTTGTTTTTGATGCCATAAGGGCACTCAATCATTGCATGTTAGTGAATTGACTGGAATTTTTTTTCTTTTTAGTATGTAGTATTATAAAGTTGTTTTATGCTTTGTTTATAATTAATGTAAAGTGTTCTTTTTTTTTATTATGAAAATGTATCTTCATCCCCTCTACCTCCCAGAACTGGGGATTAAACTCAGGGGTGCTCTAATACTGAGCTAAATCCCCAGCTTTTTTTTTTTTTTTTTAAACTTATAGACAGGATCTCAGTGAGTTGCTTAGCATCTTGCTTTTGCTGAGGTTGGCTTTGAACTTGTGATCCTCCTGCCTCAGCCTCCCGAGCCATTCCCAGCTCTTTATATTTTTTATTTTGAGATTGTCTTCCTAAATTGCTGAGGCTGGCCTTGAATTTATGACCTTCCTGCTCCAGCCTCTTCTGTTGCTGGGATTACAGGCCTATCCCATTGGATCTGGCATGTATTTTGGTATTAACTTGACATTGGACCCTGAAACAATTTGAAAAATAATCAGTGAGATTTTCTGTAGACTTCTCAGTTTGACCAACATTACATTTCCTTCCTACCTTAAGGAAATATAATTATTAAGCCATTTTATTTCCTGTTGAAACACAATTGGACTGTATTTAGCTTTTATCTGTTTAATAAACCTTTCTTCCCCCAACCTTTTGTAGCTACTAAGAAAAGAATTCTGGATTTTTCTTTGCAAGTAGAGACATTTCTTCTGTCCTGGAAGTGTTTTTTATCCGATTAATTTTCTTGTGCTGCTTGTCTCTGGTGTATTTAAAGAAATTTAATTTTGTTTCTGTTTCTTGGCATTAGTGCAAACTAAAAATAGGTAGGCCAAGAAAGTATTACAGGAGTACCTTTTCTGAGGCTTTAAAGCCAAAATAAAAGATTCTATCAGAGGAAGAAATGTAATTGGGGCCACTTAATGAACATGATGGAAAAGATTTTTTTTTTTTCCTGGTAGAAAAGAAGTCAGAAATTTGCTGTGTTTTAAATTGATCAGATGTTGGCAGTACTAGGTCAAATAATAAATATATATTTCTAGATCTAATCACAGTTTCTCGATAGCTGAATTGGAAATGGTCAAATCACTAGTACCAAATGGAATCTACCTGCTTTAAAAGAATAAGGATGAAGTATATAAACAAAGAGACAGCAGTGTAACCTCTTTTGTAGAGAACTCATATGATTCTCATCCACAAGAAAGATTTTAGAGAATACCATAGAAGTTATAGATTTCATACCTGGCAAAGTAAAATAATGAATGATAAAAGGCAGATTTGCTGAATACTTAAACTTAAGAATTTTGGTAGTATTTTTCCCTTTATTTCGGGGGAGTGCTCTGCCATTGAGCTACACCTCAGCCTTAAACCTATGGAGTTTTGGAGGAGAAGTTCTATAACTTGAAAATGGTCTGATCTGTTGGACAGTTCTTAAAGGAGACATGTAACTAAAGAATTGCACAGTGAACTACTGTTCAGTTTTTAAACAAATTTTTTAGTTGTAGATGGACACGTTCCCTTTATTTTGTTTATTTTTATGTGATGCTGGGATCCAACCCAGTGCCTCATGCATGCTTGGTAAGCACTCTACCACTGAGCCACAACCATGGCCCTTTCTTTTCTTTTTTTTTAACTGAAAAGCTGAAGACATTTATTATAGATGAGACTGGGAAAATACTAGAATCTCTCTTAAGGCTGCAACATAAATAATTGTGTAATTCCATAGTAACAACTTTTAAGCATTATAATGGGATCTTTTTTGGAACTCACTTTATGTTTAGTCTGAGCAATTTTTCAGTTTTGTTTTTTATCTTTGTGTGTGTGTGTGTTTTTTTCTTGGAATTCAACCCAGGGGTGTTTTACCACTTAGTGACATCCCCAACCTTTTTTATTTTTAAACATTGCCATCCTCCTCTGTCAGTCTCTTGAGTAGCTTTTTTTTAATTTAAAAAATGTTTTTATCTTTGAGTACATTGACACAGGCCTATAATCCCAGTAACTTGGGAGGCTGAAGCAGGAGGATGACAAATTTGAGGTCAGCCTTGGCTAATTAGTAAGGTTTATCTCAATAAAAACTAAAAAGAGCTGGGTGATCTAGCTCAGTGGTAGATCACCCTTGAGTTCAGTTCCTGGTCGTGAAAAAAAACAAATAAAAAAATAATTTCCAACTTTTTTTTGTACTGGGGATTGAATTCAGAGGTGCTTTCTCACTGCGCAACAGTCCCAGGCTGTTTTTTATGTTTTATTCTGAGAAAGGGTCTTGTTAAGTTGGTTAAGACCTCACTAAATTGTTGAGGCTGGCTTTGAAATTCTTCCTGCTTTAGCTTCCCCAGCCACTGGGGTTACAGATATGAGCCACTACACCCAGCTCTGTTCTTTATTTTCTAAACGGACATTGTTTTGCTCCATGGCACTTTACTGCTCCATTTTACCATTTAACAGTGTTCTGCCTTGTATGATAGCATGAATGTCTGTTATTAGATGGCAAGATTCTTGAGGAACAGAGCCATTTCTTGTGTATTTTCTAGTTTTAGAACATTGACTTGTATATGATAGATAATCAGTAAAGAGTTCAAGTAGAAAAAACAAGAAGGAAAGAACATGTGAGCAGAAAAAAATACCATAAACAATAGTGTACAGTCCTGAGAGAACACAGCTTGTTCAGAAATTTGAAGTGGTTTGGTATGGCTGGAGGTGGGGTTGGGAATATAGGCAGAAGCTGAATTATGGAAGACAAAGTTGATATGCTTGGATTTTTATCTCTTGGGTGGCACATGAACACATTGCAATTTTTTTTCCTGTGTTGCGGATTGAACCCAGGGTCTCATGCATGCTAGGTAAATGCTCTACCTCTACCACTGAGCTATGCCCCAGGCCTGATATGCTTTTTATATTTAATTTAATTTAGTTTAATTATTTGTTTTTGGTACCAGAGATTGAACTCAGGGGTACTCGACCATTGAGCTGGATCCCCAACCCTATTTTGTATTTAATCTAGAGACAGGGTCTCACTGAGTTGCTCAGTGCCTTGCCATTACTGAGGTTGTCTTTGAACTTGTTATCCTCCTGCCTCAGCCTCCCAAGCTGCTGGGATTACAGGTGTGTGCTGCCGTGCCCAGCTTTTCATATTTTGTAAGATTTAGAAATATTATTCTGGTAACATGGTGAACCATGGATTGGAATGGGACAGAAATGTCATAGAAGCAATAGAACAGGTGACACACTGTGAGAGCCTGAAGTAAGAGAAGTGATTATGGTGTTTTAAAAAAAATAAAGATCGTGAAGAATTTGTAGATTAGGTCTAGGTTATTAGAGAGAGAGGAGTTCAGTATAACCTCTTAGATTCTTGCTAGGCCAGACAAAAAATCTTGGCAGAAGGGCATGATATAGGAAAATCTTGAGCTTGTGGCAATCAAGAAGCAGAAGCTTATTG